GTCAAGTTGGCACTACATTTCCAGCTTTACTTTAATTAAGATTTTAGTATTGCAACTTCAAGAAATCAAGGTTAGATTCTGTGGAGTATTTTGAAGGACAAGATATTCCTTTGTTATCTTTTAACTGTTGCTATCGTTATACTTAATTTTTCCGAATAAGATGCAGCTGTGTTTCTTCCACAGTTGACGACCCACTTGATGCTGTGGCTGTACACATGGGAGGTGGGTTGTGGGGGCTGGTTGCTGTGGCCCTCTTCCAGGATGGTGGCATTGTGTACGGGGGCAGCGCGGAGGTCCTCGCCTGGAACATAGTGGGGGCGCTGGCCATAGTGGCCTGGTCTGGTGGTCTTTGTTTGCTTATGTTTGGTTCCCTCAGGCTGCTCGGCGTCTTGAGGGTGCCTCCAGAAATGGAAATTGCAGGCAAGTGAATTTATCTTAACCGAATTACTTGAATATATAAAGTTTATCTTAATTTACCAGAGGGTCATCATCCATTTAGTGCCCTCGACGGGCACAGAAAGCCGGAGGTTTGTCAGACGTCCCCCTCTTTTGTTCCTGAGAACTTTTTCCTCCTGGATTATGAACTGCAGTAAGGTTTTGGCACTTACAGCTTCATCGGGTAGGTGGTTCCATTTTCACCTGTGGGTGAAAAGGCATCAGTTTTCTGTTTTACATTATGGCTTGTTGAGCTTGAGCTTGAGCCTCTTCTGTGTTACATCTAATCTTTTAAAGAAATGGTCTGGATCCTCAAAGTAGTTTTTGTTTGTTCATTGTATTCTAGATGTGTTATTTACACAGTAGATAAACCCGTAACGTGTTCAAAGATATTTTACAAATGACTGGAATAATACTCCATATAACGAAAGTCCACTGCGTGTGTTAAAAAAAATGTAGTTTCATTATTTATTTTGTGTCAAGGCCAGTAGTTGGACTCAATTAAATATTCTGTATTCTATACTTTGTGCATGGGTCGACCCATGTACACTAATGTTGGGAGAGAATATGATAGAGTAGGATCCTGCAAGGATGTTTTAGAAACTTATCGCATGGAGACATTTGACGTAAAACGAAATATCTCAACTGCATATTTTATACAATTAACTCTTTACGATATCTGTACGTCAGGAATGGACATCTTGAAGCACGGGGAGCCAGCCTACCCGGCTGAAGCTTGGCTGGAGAGCCAGTACGATGGCTCCGTCAAGGCTCAGGAGGATATCAACAGGAACACCTGTAAGCTGCTATTTCCCGTTTTCATAAATGATAGGCTGTATCCTAGTTACTTTATTTCGTTTCCTTAATAGATATAACTTTTTTTTTTACTGTATATTTTGTAGATCTTCATGTTCCTATACTCTTAGTGTTTTGAGTATTTCCTGTAATTGTCATATAACAATCTTAAGAGCTATCTTAAGATCACTTTCACTTCTCACTTTCTTTTGATAATTATTTCCCAACAATATTCAGATTTATTATATTCTCTCACGTAATCTTTCTAAATGTAGATTATAAAATACTGGTTCAATAGATTTGAAATATCGCTTATCGTCGTATATTCACTAACAGTCTGCTATAGTTCTGATCTACAATATTCTTGCTGGTTGGTCAAGCTATTGCTATGGCCTTAATAACCCTATAGACTAATGAACAAATCCACAAGGGCCGTGACGAGGATTCGAACCTGCGTCCGAGAGCATCCCAGACGCTGCCTTAATTGACTGAGCTACGACATGGTAAAAGAGTTGAAACCTTTAGACTAGAAGCTGATTAGCCTGAAACCCAACAAACCAGTCATAAAACTCACACTAGCAATCACTTATCTCTTACTGATGTTCAGTACTTGAGATCACAACATTATTAATTTGTTGTCATCAGTCACTAAATACTTCACTTGTATTTACCCACTAAGTCACTTGTGGGTAAATACTGGTTCAGTAACAGGGTTGTTGATTTGTGGAACCAATTGCCGCGTAACATGGTGGAGGTGGGGTCCCTCGATTGTTTCAAGCATGGGTTGGACATGTATATGAGTGGGATTAGGTGATTATAAATAGGAGCTGCCTCGTATGGGCCAATAGGCCTTCTGCAGTTGCCTTTGTTCTTATGTTCTTATGTTCTAAGCAATTCACAATGTTACAGATCTGCCACCCAACATGTCTGCCCCGTGGAAATCCGGCTGGAGACTCCCGGCGCCGTACCCAACACACCTGGTACAGTGGAAGGTGTCCGAGGCGCGAGCACCTCACGGTAACGCTCCCCATCTCACATACAACCTCACTCAACCCATACACAACGCAAGTGAATTCCATCCCAGTTATGACAGGTCGAGCTATGATCTAGCGGGACGGCTGCGACACCATAATTATGAAGAAACGAGAGGTTACCAAGGACCTACGACGGTGGCATGATGGTTGACACGCGTTAGGGGGGGTAGAAATAGCCTAAGCTACTCTACCCCTTTGAGATGTATTTCTTTCTTGTCTCAATAAACATACTTGAACTTGGTTGACCCTGTTCATCCAGCAGTAAACGGGGATTTGGCTGTACATCGATTGGAGGATCTTGTTCTGGGGAAAATATGCTGGTCAAGCTTTAACAAGGTCCATGATGAGGAACAGTTCTTAGCTTGCAGAAATGGTTAAAAACTTGGGTTCCTTCTCCTTTACACTCTAGAGGTAATGATGTAGGCTAACAGGCAGTAGGATAACTCCAAGCAGAAATTGTATGCAAAGACATTAACCGGTTTGGTCTTATTGTGTTTGATTTTAGTTAAGAAAGTTATGGGCTCCGAGCTTGAAATACAGTACAGTAGTCTAGATGTAGGTACATAAACAATATCTAAAGTTGAGCACTTCATTTTAAAGCCCTTGTGTTCAAGTTGGTTCTACAAGTCCTAAAATATGTTTGGTTATTCGCGCACGTTGCTTTATTTAAAAAATTCGTGAACTATTATGATGAATGCATTTTGTTCCAGAGCGAGAGGACAGTATTTCAACATAATAAATGAGATGTGAATTGTTATAAATGGATTAATACATTAACTGTTGTGTAAATAACTTTGCATTGAACAAGTTGTCATAATTCTATTAACTGTCTGTTGTATGCTTCGCGAGGTTTGAAATATTTTCGTCCATGTCTAATGAAGGTAACTGAGAGGACAGATTGATTGATGAAGATTAAGCCACCCAAAAGGTGGCACGGGCATGAATAGCCTTTAAGTGGTGGCCCTTTTAAGCCATTACCAGTATCAAGAGCTAATACTGAAGATCTGTGGAGGTGCGACTGCACCCAGCGTGACGGGAGATGTCTCCCGGACCAAATGGTGACCAGATGGTGTGAGAGGACAGGCTCCAGATGGAGTTGAGTATGTCAACCATACTCAGGAACACTCCAGTCAGATTCACATCCGGTAAAAATGTCCATTGCCTCATCCACCACCCAGTGTTTATCCACTTGAATAGTTTTCTAGGATTTCATGTGTTGGAATCCTTAGGATTAAGCTTTTAAGTGCCTTGGAGAAGTCTAATGACAGCACATCATCTGCCAAAATTGTATTCACGAAACTGGAAAGCATTTCCAGTTATGGGCTTTTTTTTTATTAACACATTTTAGTACATCACAATCGACTTGAGAATGATCCAGGACGGACTGAAATGTCGTCGTCCCTTCATCTTGTGGTCTGGTCAACATACTTCAGCCACGTTATTTTGACTCCTCGCCTGCATAACAAAATCTGAATTTGTGCAGCTACCCTAGACTATATGAAGGGGAGTACAATGTCAAAAACGCTTACGGGCTCTATGTAGCTCACCATAGCCGGTGCTACATGGACACTTCGTTCTGAGTAGCTAAATATGAAACATAAGAACATAAGAACATAAGAACAAAGGTAACTGCAGAAGGCCTATTGGCCTACACTTACAACAACATCAAAAACTAGCTGTGAGATGCTAAAAATCCCCATCACACAGGATGGTTAGTCATACAGAGGCGGTTTGTTAGGGATGTTTTGTTTTTTTCAGCGAATCTGAAATATTATAATTATTTTTAGACGCTTCTTATTAAGGCATCAAAGAAGGTATAAAATGAAGCCATGAGAATAATCTTAGGATGAACAAGAAATGTTATGATTGAGATAATGAGGATGGAGTTGAATCTGAAGAGTATTGGGGATAGAATTTCAGAGATAAAAGTAGCCTCTGCCATTGGATTAATGAGAGGTGGGGGAGCTAATGAATTAATCCTCTCAGTTCAAAAGGTGGGAAGTAATGCACAATGTATGATAAAGTATAATAAGAGAGCATATATGAGTACCTTATGTTCTAATGTTATAAAGTATGATGCTATTCCAAAATGGTTGCTTTGCCTAAGAGACAATTCACATCATCATGGGAAGATTGTAACGTAGATGTAGTAATTATTCCTATGCAAAAGAAAAAAGTATGTATGAGATAGGAGAGCTGAGGGCAACATATGATTGTAGCTACTCGGAACACAAAAGTTCCAAATATCACGGGCTATGGTGAGCCCGCAGGAGCTACAAGCGCTTTGCCCCAAGAGTGTAACATATATGCTGTGTTTACTATATTACCTGCAATGTAAAATGTGATTCTTTTACTGTGATTTGTGGATTTGTACTCATTGGATTTGTGCGCCCCTTGAGGGACTTGAAGTAGAGGAGGGTAGGAATAGCTTAAGATACTTTATCCCTTTGAGATGTATTTTTAGTCTCAATAAACGTACTTGAACTTGATTAAGGCATCGCTCTTCCATGAGGCTGTGTACTTTTAAGTGGTTCATAACGTGTGATTCAGGTTCTTTATTTAAATTTAACAAATGTATACAATGGTAATGTTATACCGCTTATATTTATATTATAGTGATTGTATTTCTAATAAAGGATCAGTATGTAAGTAAGCGTATCGTACTCAATCATTAATAGTCTCGGGAAGAATTTACAGCTATGGAAGATTAATTTGATTAGATGGGAGTTGGCTGTTACAGTTATTACTATGATATCCAGTCAAGAAATTACTATGATATCCAGTCAATAAATAACAAGTCAAGAATAATGTCTCTAGTTATAAGCAGACTAAATACTGAGAAGGGGAAGGAGATTAGTATAACTAAATATGTCGGTTTGCATGAGGAGTCCAGGAAAAATGAAGCTAAAACCAAACTTAAATATTCCTAGACTTAAATAAATATTTAATATATATATATGAAATATTCCTATAATATAACTATTATAATATAAATCATATATTTGACCGTGCACATCGATATGTACTATATTAGGTCTTAGATATCGTGTATTAGGCCTATGATGGTTAGGTTATAAAATAAATAAATAAATGTTTATTTAGGTAAGGTACTTACATACAAGAGATTTTACAAAGATTGATGGATTTATATGGATGGATGGATTGTTAGGTTTTATTAGCAACATAAATACAAAAGTGGGATTAAGGCAACATAAATATGAGTGGGATTGGGTGGTTATGTTGACCAGACCACACACTAGAAGGTGAAGGGACGACAATATACTATATACTAGTCGTCCCTTCACCTTCTAGTGTGTGGTCTGGTCAACATACTTTAGCCACGTTATTGTGACTCATCGCCTGTATTGGGTGGTTATAAATAGGAGCTGCCTCGTATGGGCCAATATAGGCCTTCTGCAGTTACCTTGTTCTTATGTTCTTAAAAACTTTTCCGGTTTGTCTAAACTCTATAATACTAAAGTCTAGTTTCTAATTGTGTATTACGTCAACATATGTACGATAGTGAACATCGTTACTATAAACGCTATATAAACAAGAGGATGGGCTAACTAACATATATTGTAGCCCATTTTCATGTTTAGGTAGTAACGATGAAGACCGTCGTACATATATTGACGTAAAAGGCAATTAGAAAGTAGAAATCGGTACTATTGAATTTGGACAAACCGTTAAAGTTTTTGTACTGATGTTGCAAAGAAAACTTATCCTAACCTAACCTTCCTAGGGCTAATACACACTATCTGAGGCATAATATAGTACATATATGAGCAGGCGAAGAGTCACAATAACGTGGCTAAAGTATGTTGACCAGACCACACACTAGAAGGTGAAGGGACGACAACGTTTCGGTCCGTCCTGGACCATTCTCAAGTCGATTGAGAATGTGTATATCACATACATATATGTGTTATACTAAGTCAAGGAATATTTAAGTTGGTTTTTAGCTTTATTTGTTTCGAACAATAAAATGAATAGTATTAAATTCTACTATCTAATTGTCTATTACGTTTATGCATATACGATGGTCTACAGAAAGTAGATTACAGTTACAGAAAGTACTATCTTAACAGGAGTGTGGGTTGTGCATTATAATAAAACATTCAAAAGATCTCAGGCTCCACCCGCACCACTGCCGGCTTGGCTCAACTCTCACTTAAAAACATCCTATAGCCACCATTCACCCAAGTATTAATGTAACCTGTGGTTAAGAGTGTAAAGTTTTATACATTTAACCACATATCCTTATAGCATAGCTAAATTAGCTAGAAGAGTATTATCCTCGTAAGTTTGAGAGTGCATTAATATAACCACCACTCTATATAATATAAATTATATATTATACTCACAAGATCACTGCTCGTACTTTGTAGGATCGAGGGTCGTAACAGCCAATCCATGTTTTACAAATAACCACCATGCACTCTGGTGTAGTTAATGGAGTTCTCCACCAAACGCGACGACCTTCAAATGCACGTTAGTGTGATTTCGACGTTTCGGTCCGTCCTGGACCATTCTCAAGTCGATCACAATCGACTTGAGAATGGTCCAGGACGGACCGAAACGTCGTCGTCTCTTCAATTTCTAGTGTGTGGTCTGGTCAACATACTTCAGCCACGTTATTGTGACTCGTCGCCTGCAGTGTGATTTCCTTTGGTATACATCAATGAACTTTTGCTTAGTTGCAGAGGGTCCTTTCACAAATTCAGGAAGAATTTGTTGATTCTTTTGTTGGAAAACTTGTATCACTGTGTGAGAAGTCGACACGGTCCCAGTTTGAGTAAATTGTTTCTCAAAAATTTGTTTTTGTTTACACTCCTGTCAGCTTCAGTTTGTTTGTTAATAATACCATGCCAAGTGCTTATGTTTAGAGTTCCATATAGATGTAGAAAGGAAACATTATTTAAAATTCCAAAATTACAACAAAAAGCTTACATTGTGATTGTTTAACATTCATTTATAAGTAATAAATGTTTCATGTTATCAACAGTTCTAAATACACTTTTCTGGACTAGATAATTTCACCCTGTCATCTAAGAAGTGCCTCCAGAAATGGAAATTGCAGGCAAGTGAAGATATTACATAAAGTTTTCACTTTTGTATTGTATAATTGTTATATGTTCAGTGTTATGAACGCATTCATTATACATTGTATATGTTCTATATCTCTAACAATATCTGTACGCCAGAAATGGACATCTTGAAGCACGGGGAACCA